TTATTTATCCCAAGGCGTCAAATGTTTATTGTTGTATATTTTTTTTAAAACAATCCAGAAACTTTTCATGTTGGATTCTCTTGTTGAAGACAGACGTATGTTTTTTTTATTTTAATTAAAAACAATACCAAAAAAATTTTTAACCCTATATTTATACCAAATTTAAATAACATAACAGTACGAAATGATTGAAAAAAATTAGTCAAGTGAGATTTTATCTAATGCAACACGGGTTCTTCCGTATTTTACCTTATTTAGCAAAAAATTTCGAAAAGCAATTATTTTTAGATTCGTAATTTTCTAATTTTTTCGTTGAGTTTGTACCATGTGTAAGAACTTCCTTCAGTCCATATTTACTCAACCAGATATTTTATTTGACGGATAGACATAAGGGTTCTATGTATTTTTTTTGTTGTGCAGAACCCTAAAAACTGCAAGCACTTTTTTTTGTTTTATTTCTTTTGTCCTCAAAAAACAAAATCACTAACAAAACAATTAATGTTAAGCACATTTTCCAATTTGAAAAAAAAAATTCGTCCTTTCTTTAATAAATCAAAGTTAAAGTGCCGAAACTTGTTTAATTAATTCTTTGGCATTTTCTTTTACGTAATAAATCGTGTTAATTTTTCCGTGTCCTACACCAATTCCAGTTGCGCGTTGTTTATAAATCTTACAGTTATACAAACAAGTGATCTATCGCATACGTGTTCTTGTTTGCCTTAATTTTAGACCAGGAATGCGCTATGTAAATTATTACCTTTATTTTAATGGACTGAATACATGAGGTGATGAGGTGGTGCATCATCTTGGTAACATAGTAACATACCTACCACCTACATGTGCACTAAATATGCAGTTTTGCAGTTGTTTTAAATGGTCTTTAATAATGTCAAGTTTTAGCGATACCAATTGGGTTTTGTATCAATTTTTAGGGTTCCGCGCTCGACAGTAAAACGGAACCTGTTTATAAGACCACGGGTTCGTCTATCATCATCGATTTTCTTACTAAAAAATCTCTAAGATTTTTCCCGTTTTTTTCCAAAATTAGTCACCAAAACGTATAATAATTGCAGTCTGAGAAATACAAGAAACAATTGCCATCACATAAGGCAGTAAAAACAACAGACTGCAATGTTTATTGTGTCACATTTCTTTGTTTTTTTGTTATATAATCAACAAATTACATTGTAAATACAAAAAGGTAAATAGGACAATAATCCTACCACATTTGTTTGATTTTTGTAAATATCGTATTTCTTGTTTTATTCTTACTTACGTTACAAAGTTGGTCTCTGCGAAAAGCCCTTATGTTTTAACAAAATAAAATATATGCTGTGTCCGACCTGAAGGTCCATTTTAAATGGTGGTGGAAGAATTTTTGAAATCGGATGAGTAGTTTTCCTGAATACCTCCTACATCCAAAGTTAGAAAATTTCCCTTCATATAATAGTAATATAGACTAGAATTTACCCCACGACTTCTCTCGAGTAAAAAAAATAAATAAAATGTATCCTAACTAACTCGTGGCAACCTCCTTTTCGTGCCTGTAAAAATCCCATTGAAATTCGACCATTTGGAAGATTAGTCCATACAAATAAACAAATTTTTCCTAAAGGTTGTTTGTGTCTTAATAGTATACAGATAACCATTTGGGCTTTAAAACCCAGCTATTTCGATATAAATTACGTTTTTAACATTTTTTAGTTAGATCTTCCCTCCTTTCCGAAATCCTGGTTACGCCACTGTTTTCCTTTATTTTCATGAAGTATAATTTGTACGAAAACTGAAAAACGTTTTTTATTTTAAC